ACAAGATTTACTCTGTAAATCTTTGTGTGGTTAGAGCCCAATACGCTAATTCGGTTGTTTGAATTCGTTTCCACACTTATGTGTGAACTCTGTTGCGCACCGCGAACGTTTGGCTCAAGCTGAGTGAAAAAGACTTGCAGCTGTCCGCTGTTGTCAAGGGACTTGTTTCCAAGGGAAAAGGTCTAGGAGGGACCTTAAGTTTTTCACGCACGCTGCCGTTAGAGCTTGCACCTAGACTGCAACTTTTCCAAAGAATCGACTGACGAAGTTCCATGCCATGACAAGTGTTGCTCTTCTTTTTATTTCTTCTTTGCAAGTCGCATGCTCCGTTGTGGTGTATAGTCCGCATAGAAAACCCTTATAGAACCCTATCAAACCGCATAAAGACCCGGCCAGAAACGTGAGATCCGAAACCTCAGCCTACGTCCATGAGAGAGAAGGTTCGGAGGGGTCGAAGGGCTTGGAGGAGTCCGGTCTGCACCTGGCCAAGGTATTCGCTTAGCACTTACAATAAGTTCTTACTTCTTGCTATTGATATTTATGGTCAACCACATGGGAAGCCAGCAAGACACTCAAGGTGCTTTGTACTTTTGGAACAACAGCCTAGCCTTTTTTGAGAAATGATGAGCAGATGAGTAGTGCAGAAGTTGCATGATCTTTTCGACCCTCAAGTCTAAGTCTTGTAACTTTGTCCCGCAGTCTCGTTCCACAGGTGGAGTTCAGGTCCGGGACTCTGCCTAGGAACTGAATAGGATTTTGGATTGGGTCGATTTGTCAGCTACTACACACTCCGCGCCAAGCCGATTCTGCATTCTGCGGACGCTACAAGATCTGTACTCCACGTTCCTACACGCTCCACACTGAAAGGTTTCACAACCACGCCCTCTGCTCAGTGAAATGCAATGCTTCTGCTCACTTTGGCACTGAAAACACGCTCTCTGGTTCTTTTTGTCCACCGGAAACCCCAAACTCTCAGCCAGCTCATCCATCCAAGTCCCAAAACTCACCTCCCCAAACGCGAAACCGTAAGACTGGACACTCCCATCTTTTGACACCACATTCGCACAGAAACGTGCTAGGCAGTGAGTTTAGACAGTTCGAGCCTCGTTAGCATAGAGTTGTTTTCTTGGTTTAGGGAAAGTTGGAGTCTGGAAGTTGGAGATCAAGAGTCAGTGCCGTGGTATGACTATGGCTTGATTGACCATTCCGGGTTTACAAGCTGAGAGGCACGTGTGGCACTGACTCCGATTGGCCGGCTTAGTGTTAAGGTTTAGAAGAATATTCCTTGGCGAGCCAGGATTTCATGTGACTCTAAACAGGCGAGTCGATGTAAAGCCTTTGACGTGCATCCTGAGTTGCGAACCCAGCACAAAAATGATTTAAGGTGGACCGCATGTCGACGCCTATTTGTCAGCTCGAGATCGGAGGAAGGGCGGAATGCTGGCCGGGCAAGGGCTAGAAGGTACCTTTTAGCTGATTCAAGCGCGCGGCCATGCGTCTGTGGCTTGTCACCGTCACATTGTGCCATGGCCTCATTGGTGGTGAGTTCACGTTGAGGAAATGGTGTCAACCCAGCTTCCACGGTTGCGAGACTCATTGAGTTGATGAACAAAATGCTGCATGAACTATGCCATAATACATATCTTGGAATGTACCACTATTCACCCTACAGCCCCAAAATCTTTCTTGGCTGGTGCAACCCAGGTCGATTCGACTTGTGGAGTTAGTTTGTCGCAATGCGTTGCAAGGCCACCTCTTGGACACGTCATTCATCAAATTCGTCGGTTTTCGACGGCCCGCCTGTTTTCGCTTCCGACAAAATCTAACGGCCACAGGTGTATGCCAATGCACTGGCATCGAAGGTGCCCGCAGGCTACGCTCGGAGTTGCAGGTATCTGTTTTCAACGTTTTTAAACGTTTTTAAGGAGAGGCACCCTGTGTGCAAGTGGCCTCAGAAACACTGGCCTTGGCCGTGGTTTCTAACACCTTCATGTCTAATTGCCGAGCATAGCCAGCTGTCCACCTGGGCTTTGGTCGGCAACCTGAAGCGCCGGACCCGTGAAGCTTACGATCCGTGCAAACGGACGCTGATCGTTTCCCACGCAAGCACAGAGCGCAATTAGAAGGCTGCGAAAATCAAGGTGTGTTCTGCTTGCACGATGAAGCATGTGGGTCGCGAATACCTCGACCCCACCAGCCCTCATCACGCAAGCTCAGAGCAGTAAATTGGGGCTTGCAATAGTTTCACTGAAGCGTTGCTCCGTTTGCGCAATCATTCATACCTCGTCAGGCACAAGCGCTGCTTGTTGGGATCTGTAAGCTGTGGAGCGGTAGGAAAAAATTCAGAAGCATTGAATCCGCAGTCTCGTTTCCCGCAGGCTTCTTGTTGCATTCGCAGTTGCGAGCTCTTGCTACAGGCTTGTCGCTATTGGGGCCCCAAGCTCTCGAGCGGACCTCGACAAAGCAGAGGGCCCTTGTATTGAAGGACTGCAATGAAGGTTCAAGCTCCTCAGCCCAAGCGCTTTTTCAGAGCATATCCTGGGCACAGGATATATTGAAACCTGAGGGCAATAACAAGGCTACATTAAGAAGTATCTGATATGTCGTATGGAGTATATAGCATTACAGCATATGGTATGTGGTGTATGGTATACAGTATATAGGATATAATAGCATGGAGCTTCGTAGCATAGTAGCATAGCATAGCATAGCACAGTATAGTCTAGTACAACACTAAATGCTTCAGCCTCAGGCTGGTACCGAAAGAAACTGCTACGTTGCACTGTGCACTTTAGTTGCCCGAAGCCCTGAACCCCGAACCCTGAACCCAAACCCTAAACCCTAAACTGAACCTGCCCAACGGCCTTCGTTCGGCAGCCTTGGTCTTGGCTCAGACTGCCGGCGGCAAAGTGTCCATTCAGGGCAGCAGATTTAACGAAGCGGCTGGCGCCTGAGCTTGCCAAACGGTTTAGGTGGACCTGCCACGTTTGCGGCTGGCGAGGCCACTCCAGGCCAATCCATGTTCGCAGTCCTCGCGTTCGTCCTGGCCGTTGCCAGCGCCAGGAAGACTCCTTCAGTGTCTTGATTTGCCAACCCAGAACCCTAATGCTAAACTTTCGGCCCTAAGCCTTAAGCCTGATTCCCGACACTACTCTCGAAACTCAGAAGCCTAGAAACCTAAACCTTGAACCCTAAACCCCAAACCCTTACGGGGATCTCGTGCCGAACTGCTGAGGCAAAGGTCGCGTTATCCACGGAGCCGACAGTCCTGCTCAACAACAGTCCGCAGCTGATTCTCGCGAGGGGTATTTGGGTGACGGTTGCGGTCATGGGCCTGTCAGCATAGTAGGGCCAACATCATGTCCCAAAAATAACATGCATCGCAAGGTCAGACACCAGGAGCATAAACATATTGATACAAGACCTTTCAAATCTCTAGGGCGCTGGACTGAAGGGTTTCAGGCTTTCTGTAGGGTTGAATGTTAGGGTACAGCATGCGTTTGCAGTCTCCAAGCTTTACAATACAAAATTGGATCACACCGAAAAACTATAAGACACAGGCTTCAGGAAGTGGGTAGTCCACTCGGGTGGGGTGGAGGTGGGGTGTTGCGGTTGTTTCGATGGGACCAGTTGGGTTGGGTGGAATTCTTGGGATGGTTTCGGGATGGGATTTTGGGGTGTGGTGTCTAGATTTTTCGGTAGTGGGGTTTGGGGGCCGTGTCTTTAGTTGGGGTTTTGGGGGTGGCATTTTTGGGGTATGGTTTTTGGGCTTGTTTTTGTTTTGCGGAGGGTTTTGGGGCTCGGCTAGGTTTAATTGGTGGTGGTGTTATTATTTGTATTTGTTGCGGTGGGCTGGATTCTTTTGAGCTGTCCTTGGGGTGTGTTGTTTGCAGTTGTGTTCTTCGGGCGGGTTTATTGGGTGGTGTTTTGGGTGGTGTTTTTGGAGTGGTGGGGTTTTGTTGAATTAAGGCTTACGGCGGTTTGTGGGGTGGATGTTTGCCAGTGTTTTGGGTGTGGTTTTTTGTTGGAGCGCTTGTGGTGTTTTTTGTGTTGTTTTTTTGCTTTGTGTTTTTTTGGAATAGGGTTTGTGGTGTCAGGTTCGGGGGCTGGGTTTTCAGTGTGGTGCTTTTGAGTAGGTCTCTGGGTCGTGTTTCCGGGATGTTTTTTTTTGGGTGTTGTTGTTGTTTTGGGAAGCTTTTCGTGTGTTTTCGGTGTGTCTTGTTGGCGGGCGGGTGTTTTTGTATGCGGCTTTTGGTGTGTTGTTCGTTTTTATGGGTGCCGGGGCAGGGCGGATTTCGGTCGGTGGGGTGGGGTTGGGTGGGGGTTGTCGCAAGCCCCGCGTGAAAATTTGCTGTTTGCGGTTTTATGTCGCCCGCGCTAAGTTTCGCATAAGTTCCGCATCAAAGGCTCCGAAAGCGCCGGGCAGGGTGCGGGTGGGCAGTGGTTTGAGAAAAGCAACACCCACCACACCACAGAAAGACCACGCCCACCACAACACAGAGAAAGACCACATCCACCACGAGTAAAAACCACACCTGCCACAACACAAAAGTCCGCACCGACCAAAACCAGGCCCACCACAGGAAAAAAACACACCCGCCACGACTCAGAAAAAACACCTACCCACCACACCTCAGAAAACAAGAGTCCTTGCCCTGCCCCCGCCACTTGCCTGTCTTGGAATGAGCATCAGTTCGGGGTCTGGAAAATGGGCGCGGTCATCGCGGCACGAATGCACTGTCGGTTGGGAACTTTGAAGAGTGGCCCAAAGCTGAACGGTCGAGCCAGCATCATGAGCATCAGTGGGAGTCTGGGGTACGGAAAGCGGGTGCGGTTATTGGGGCACAAACGCACGGTCACTTGGGAACTTTGGAGGGTGGGGCCACGATGCCGGAGTAACGGGCCAATGCTGGGCACCCGTAATTGGTGGTTTTGTGATTGGGGGCGGCTTTTGAGGCGCAAATCGCCATGAGAGGGAGATGGGGAGGGAGGATAAGCTGCCGTGGCAATTTCGCAGGTCCGGGCTGTTTGGGTCAGACCGCGGTGCTTGAGCACGAAAATTGGCGGCTCCTTTTTTCTGCCAACAGGTTCTGCATAGTTTCGCATAAGTTCCGCATAGCCAGCGGTTTATGGCAGCACCAGACCACAGTTCCGCATATAGGCGGAACTTACAACAGCTAAACGAGAGCTAGTTCGCATATATGCGGAACTTGTTTTGTTCATGCAGAACCACTTCTGCATAGACCCAGCGTCTACGCAGGACTTATGCGGAACTATGTGGAACTATGCAGTGCAGAACTGCGCAGAGCTGTGGCGGGTGTGCGTTGGGGCGTGTTTTCGGGTGGTTTGACGCCTGGGAAGGTGGCCCGGGGAGGTGGGGGAGGGGTCAAGCACGGGAAAAGGGTCCGGGTAGCCTTATATTTTAGTAGATAGCTGTAAAGCCAAGGATTGAAGCATAGACCTTTTCTAACCCTAAACCCTGGCATTTATATCCCGCGCGCCTTATCGTACCAGCTCTTGGTGTCATGATTGGGGCTATTACTACATAACCCGCCCGCCTCATCGTACCAGCTCTTGGTATTAGAATTTTAACTGTGGCTATCAGTATATAACCCGCGCGCCTTATAGTACCAGCTCCTGATGTTATCATTGGAGAGACCAAGGGTCCGGAGAGGGGAGAGAAGCGGTTCCCGGTTTTGAGGGGTAGAGACAGGGCCCGTCCCAGTTTTGTTGATGATGCACCTTCGGTAGCGTTGTCTGACGGCGCATTAGGCAATCTCAGCTGATGTAAGTTTTGCACAAAAGCTCGGTCTACGCAGAACTGGTTCTGCATAAAACAACTCAGGTTCTGCATGCATGCCGAATTTGGTCCTTTTCAGCTTTTGCAAGTTCTGCATATATGCGGAAGTGCAGCTTGGTGCTGCCATAAGCCGTGGGCCATGTGGAACTTACGTGGAACTACGCGACATTGACATAAAACCGCAAACCATAACCCCTGCCCCAAAAACACATCCGAAAGACTCGTCCCAACAACCACACCCAAACATACAAACCCCACCCAAAAGCACACCAAAAAACCCACACCAAAACCCCACCAAAAAGCACCGCTCCAAGAAGACCTACTCCAAAAAAACGCCACAAAACACACCAAAAACAATACACAAAAACCATCAAAAGACATAAGCCCGGCAAAAAGCTCACCCACCTCAGAAACACAACCCCAAAAACCCCCACCCAAAAAGCCACAGCGAAACCCCACGCGAAAAACCCTATCCCAAAACACCACCCAGAACGCCTGCTCTCAAAAATGCACCACCCAAAAAACACACCAGAAACCAATCCCAAAACCACCGAAAAAGAAAACACCCCACAGACCCCAACCCAAAATCCCGCCGCAAAAACCCTTCTCCAAAAACCAAGCAAAACCAAAGAAAGCACACCCACATCCATAAACTCCCACTCCAAAGACATCACCCCAAAACCCCAAAGACACCTCCCCAAAAACACAACTCCAAAAACTCCGCCGTAAAAACCTTACCCCATGCACAAAAACATCCTAAAAAACACCACTCCAAAACACCACACAAAGCAACACCACCCCAAAAACCGCATCCCGAAAACCCCACTTCAAAATCACAAAGCCAAAACGCCACGGCAAAAACCACACCAAAAAATCCCAGCCCGATTGTCACCCCAGAAGCACTGCAACCCAAATCCCCACCCCAAAACACCACTTCAAAACATCTACCCAACAAACCACACCCCAAAAACACACTCCCACAACACCACCCCCAACGCAAAAAAAACAACACCTCACATCCCACCCGAGTGGACCGCCCGCTTCTTGAAGCCTGGGTGTTATAGTTTTTTTGGTGTGATGCAGTTGTGTACAGCTTGGAGGCTGTAAGCCTTTTTCGCCTGTGTTGGAACGGCCTGCAGTGGCACTAGGCTGCTTCAGGCCTCCGAATGGGCACCTACGCAGCGCACCCTGCCATAAAAACCAACATACCCCATACCCCCCGCAAATGGGGCTCGTGATAATTAGGCGGCGTCCGCAGCTCAGGTTTTAGGTGGGGTATCGGGCCATGCACTGGGATGCGAAAAGGCAAGCAGCTGCCCCTCAGGAGCTCAAGTCAGGGATGATCAGAGCCGTGAGTCATGTACTGCTCAGTATTGCGGGTAGCACAGTTCACTTCCTTGCCAAGAACCCAGGTGCGGTCACGGCTCCGACTTCAAGCGATGAGACCGGAGCCGAGTTGTTGCGCTTCAAGCCGAGTGCACAAGCTTAGAGTATCGCGAAGATCTTTTGTTTTGGAAAGGCTTCATGGCATCGGTGCTGTTTCGAAGTTTGATGACGATCGTGGCATGAAGGCCAGGTTCGATGTCCTTTCTTGCACTGGTGCATGCAGTTCAGTGTCCTGTTGGCCAGGAAGCCGTCTCTATCGAGACGCTCGCATCGTCACCAGTTGTTGTCAACGTGTCGACGGCACCCTCCATTGATGCAAAGATACTTGGCTGGCTTTTCTGTCATGCTCAGAGACATGCATGTATGACACCAGTATACATTATATGGTAGAATCATATTGTATATTGTAGGGCCTGGCGGCACGGGCCGGCATGGCCGTCGCCTGTCCGATTCTCGCCCCTTCGCCCCTGCCCTTCAACCACCATGGTCACCGGTCGTGTTTCCTTTCTCGTGCTTTGGGGCCATTGGAACCGCCTCAAAACCAGGTACGGTAGCAATATCGACACGATTGGTGCTTGATTTCTACTACGCGGGGTCGTTCGTGCTGTACCGCCATGAAGACTGCCCACCACAGACCCCCCAACGGCCCACAAACCCCCAGCTGATGCTCATGATGCTCCCCCGCCT